TTTTTTATAACGTATTTTTTTTTTACAATAGTCTTTCTTCCTTTAAAAAAATTCCTGCCTTTTTAGGATCTAGGCAATCGTGACTTTCGAAAAATTCTTTTTCTTTATTATTTGTAAATATCCATGGCTTCTTGGAAAAAATAGCAGAATTATTTCCCGTTCCCTTCTCCACGATGTTCAATTCAATTAGTTTTTCTTCTAGACTGGCTGCCAACCAAGGATAAAACCCCACTCTGTCACTTAATATATATCTGGCGAGGAAAACAGATGGATGCATACTTTTTCCAACGGCATTAATGCGAAAGTGAAAGGCTCGGCTGAAATTTGAACTCGGTTCACCGATTCCAATTTTCGCGTTCATAGTTGTTACACTAACACATTTTTACAATAGTCTTTTTATCATTTTAAACATTATTTTTAGTGGATGCTCCTATTTAAGAAGGTGCAGTAGATAGTTAAACAGTATATTTATTGATTTTCGTCTGCTGGCCTGAATGTTTAAAAAATCTTAATAAAAAAAAAATTTGCGCATTTAACCCGGTATGAATTACCGGTTTGATCAGGGAGAACAATCGGTCAGGCAAGGCCAAACTTGTGCTTTCAAGCGAAACTTCTCCTGTCATAGATCTCGCGGGGATTTTCATATCTGCACAGTTTCATATCCAAACGTAAACAAAGAAAAGTTTAGAATGGATGTTTTTATTAATCCGACAGATTTTTATCACTTTAAACATAATTTTTGATGGATACTCGAGCTGTTGAAAGGCGATTAACCAACTCTTAATTGTTGTTGATCCCAGGTCCATCCTAACCCGGGGTGGTAGCACCTGTTAGGGTCCTCGCTATGGACAAACAGGGAATCCCCAAACTCTATGAAATACGTCAATGAAATCTTATTTACAAATTGATTTCTTACAAAGAATATATTGAGGTGTTGATATTCCGTAAAACAAAATAAACCAAACAAATGAAAAGATTAACAATTGATGATAGTTTGGACATTGTGGAAATGCCGAAAATACTCGGAATAAATATGTATCAACATGGTAATTTTATTTCCTCCTTTAATAAGGATACTAAGAAGTTTGACTGTATATGAGAGGATCCAATTGAAAATAAGCAGACAAAACTTATATTCAATGAGACATACTGCCAATATATACGCAATATATATATATATATATATATATATATATATATATATATATATATATATATATATATATATACAAATACAAGAAAAAATCTTCATAGACAAATTTAAACAGCACTGAACAGATCATAACTACCCATACATAAACACACAACATACACACATAATGGCCAAATACACTGGTTGGACCAAACACACATACACACATACAAGTATCTATGGAGAACGAATATATATATATATATATATATATATATATATATATATATATATATATAAATATATATATACTACCTGAAGCAAACACAAGAGACTACCCTGAAGCATATATATATATATATATATATATATATATATATATATATATATATATATATATGATATATATATATATATATATATATATATATATATATATATATATATATATATATATATATATATATATGATAATGGTTAAACGTCGAAAAACATAAGGAATATTAATTCCCTTTAATAATATGTGGAAATAATCACTCTTTGGCTAAATCTTATATATATTAAATCATAAAAGCATTGGTAACGTTTTTATCGCTAGATAAATGATTGATAAGGTTTTTTTTATTGCTATTTTTTATATTTTCCAACTTTTTAAAAAAAATTTAATTTGGTTTTAATAGGTTTTCTACATCTCATACACATTTTGTTATTTAAAATTGTTTTTTAAATGAAAATTTTTGTTTATTTCATGTTCTATAAGTTATTTAATATATTTTTAATGTCCTTTTCCTATAATTAATATCCCATATTTAGTAGCAAATTCTTATTATTTTATAAACTTTTTTATATCCATTTATCTAATTTTAATTTATAACTTATGACTTAATATATATATATATAAAATTTATCTTTTTAATTTAATCTAATCTATCATTATTCTTGGAACCTTTATTAATCTTTTATTCTGTCCGATCCTTGATATTTTATTCTAAAATTTATCCATTTAATCTTGAAGTTTAATCCGTTTTAATGTAAGTTTTGACTTGTTTTATCTATTTGAAAAATTTTCGTTATATTGCTAAATTTTATTTTGGGTTTTATGTATCAAATCTGTTTTAAAATCTTTCTTCATCTTATTATTAATCTTTATATTCAGGTTCTACGTGTTTATTTACTAAAAATGCCAAGAATTTTATTTATTATAATATTAAATTTCTTTTTATAATATTGAATTTAAATATAATCCTTAATAGAATATTATAATGATTAATATAAATATGATATAAAAAAATAAAATGATAAATTCAATAGTTAAATATTATGAATGCAATATAATTATTTAATATATTAAGATTTATTATAATTAATAAAATTTGAAATTGATATAAATTAATAATTTACTTACCTATTTTTTTACTGTATAATTAAATATATAGTATTGAATGAAATTTTTTAATAATTAAATTTTTTTATACAATAATTATATAATAGTATTAATTTTGAATTAATATTTTCCTTTATCCTCTTTCTCTTAACTTTGTTTGCTTTTTTATGTAAAATTTTTTTATGAGAATTTTTCCCCCTTTGTACAAGAGTTTATATTTATTTATATATTTAGGTCTTTATTCATCTTCAATCGTATTTTTTCTGTCTAGACTTGTTGCAGTCACTCCCACCCTAACCACGTTAGTTTCTTTGTCACTATAAATTCCATTTCATTTATACGTTGTTTGTTCCTCTTCTTTCTTCTTTTTTCTCCTCCTTTTTTCTTTCCTACCTTCCTTAAATTTTCAAATTTCTAAAAAAAAAAAAGAAAAGAAAAAAATTAGAATTCATTTCTTTAACGAATGTATTTGCATTGACAAATCCCAGGAAGAATCACGCGGGGATGAAATGGCCATCTGAATGGGGTCATTTGGGATTCATTTTTGTAATTCACTTATATGCTCTATAGTAAATATATTGAACTCTCTTTTCTGGATCAGTTTTAATATTTTATATTAATAGAATCTACTTGGATTATTATCAATATATATATATATATATATATATATATATATATATATATATATATATATATGGACTCTCCGTCGGTTTCGACGTATGAAGCTCCGACAACTTTGTTTATTTAACCTTGTGTGTGAGTCGCAAGTGACATTTCAGTCCCGCTAGTGATTTGCAAAGAAGTCCACAGATTGTGCAAGAGTGTGGATTCTTGGAGTATATGGCTGGAACAGCAGCAGATATTTTATTCCTTTCCCTAGTTTGACGAAGCTTGACCATGTTTGATGCTGCCTTGTTCTTGATGCCATTGTTTCATGTAGTCTTCCATTCATTACGATCAATTACGGTATTCTCAAAGATAGTGTGATTTATATTCGCAGCTAAGAGGTTACTTTTCAGCCTGTCCCTGTACCTCCTAAGTAAAGGCCGACACACGTTTCGATGACCATTGTCAAGTTGACCATACATGAGCATTTTTGGAATTCTGTTGTCTTGCATACGTAACACATGGCCTGTCCAGCGCAATTGTGATTCCATGAGAAAGGACTCAATACGATCAATATCACAATATCACACATGGTGGAAAGGTCTGCATTTGCCACTCTGTCGCATAGGTTTACCCCACAGATTTTCCGAAGACAGTCTTTGTGAAAAATATCTAACTGCTGAATTTGCTTTCTGTATAGTGTCCAGGACTCTGAGCCATACAAAAGGGTTGTGAGAATATATATATATATAAACCATAGACTAATGTTATATGAAAAAAGATCAAGGCTAATTACTCTGTTTACTGAGATATGGTTGGTAGAACTTAATATATTAGTCAATTAAGTGCCAAAACGTGATACACACTTGGCCGATCATGTATCTTTTCGATACATGACAGGCGAGGCATATTTTTTCCGCAGTAGTTTGCTCTTTCTGCGGTAGACTGGTTCCAACCAAGGCTAAAGAATCCAGTCTGTCCTGTTATTTAACCCATAGGTGGTGGACAGAAGAGATGAATTTATATCTTCCCCAGCGAATCTAACGAACGAGCCGTTATCCATTATACTACAACGCACATTTGCACTTAATATATACTGATTCTAAAACCTTCAGTCTGGGGTGTAATATTTTTTAGTCGCTCTGCACATCTATTTGCTCTCGATTTTACCTCTGATAAGGGATGAACCGATAAAGAAGTTTAGCTGTTTTTAATCGCCATATTTCGCTATTACCTATTTACGGTAATTTATATATTTTTGTTATCACGCTTTTTGGGTCCTGACTGTTCTTTTTATGTCTGTTTTTATTGCTGTAATAAAACGAAAAACAAGTAACCGCTGAAACATTCTTAATTATTCTGAATAATTATGACTGCGTCTTGATGAATGAGGTAATATGACATCACGATTTGGACATGTTTTATTGGGCGATACTTACAAGACACAAGTCATAATATGTAACGGCAGACATGTTGTGGTTAGACAAGTAATAAAACAAAACAGAACAAAAAAACAACAAAAAAAATTACACATTTTATAGAGAAACAAGTTTTTTGCATGTTTTTTTTTTTAAATATTTTTAGCGAGTTTTGAGAGTTATATTCTTAAAGTAATAGAAACTTGTAGGGAAACCAACTTGCCATCAATATCTTCTTTTTTCTGATCGGAATAAAAGCGAATTATGTCTTCCACAATCTAAGCAAAGTATCTTGCTATAGGAAAATCTCATTAGAAGCAAAGAAATAGGTGTTGTTTTTTTTTTTATAAATTAACCCTAATCAAGGTGATAATGCCACCAAAACGCAAAGGGAGTGACAGGGAATGAAAAGACTTTTAGAAAACAACAGAAATCCAATCCTAAACAAGGAACAGGGTCTTATGGCCATATCACACTGAAAGACCTATTCTCGTATGATCACCGATGTTAAGCAACATCGAGCTTGGTTAGTACTTAGATAGGTGACTGTTTGGGAATATTCAAAAGAACGGAGAGGAGTGTGAACCAGACGTGAAGCGACCCTATCTACTCCGATGTTATATATATATATATATATATATATATTAAAGACATATTTTTATGTTTAACGTTGTTATTTTATAGATACAAGTATTTAAGCAAATGCTATGTTTATGATAAACAGTATTAAATAACATTTACCGGTCTGAATGTCGGAAATTTTTTAAAATTTTCGTTCTTTGAATAAATTCGTCATTTGTTTACATCCTATACGCCACCGTCATGAATGTACGAGATTCATGGAAAGTTGGAGTTTAAAGAACCAATCGTCGACCTTGTCTACCGATTGGTTCTTTTAAACTCCAACTTTCCAGGCACGTCAGCGTATATTCATTTCCTGCTCTGATGCGTATCGAATGTAAACAAACGAAAATTTTATATGAAAATGGACAACATTCCGGCCAATTTGTTATTTAATACTGTTTATCATAAACAGAGCATTTGCTTAAATACTTGTATCTATAAAATAAATAACGTTAAACATAAAAAATATGTCTTTAATAAATAAATTGTCGGACCTTGTCCATTTCTTAATATATATATATATATATATATCCTCCAGTGAATTCTGGACCATTTTTTCACTGATGAAGAGGAGATTTGAGGTAAGAGAGATATGGTTCTACAGAAGGATGCTGAGGATAATGTGGACTGAACATGAAATTAACAAAGAAGTTTTAAAGATAATGGAAATTGGAAATAGAAACTTGAATTTTTTTAGGAGACATAATGACGAAAGACGACTTGGAAAATTTAACTCTCCTAATGGCAGGATGAGAAATGTTAGACAGCGCATAAACAAATGAATGACGGATTTGGAAGGGCAGTAAAGGAACAAATATTGTTTAGAGCGGATAGGAAGTTGCGGAGAAAATTCGTTCTAGAACGTCCGAGAGAACCCTTTGGGCCTTCCATCAACATATCTGATGCTAGCCTCCAGGAGAGTGACTCATTGCGCCTTTCGGACGAGCGTTTTCCGCTGATATGAAGTGGAAAGATTGAATCAATTGCTAGGTATACTGCTAGGAAAGTTGCTTCACTGTGTTGTGCCCAACAACTTTTCTCGACAGAAACCTATTCTTCCTTTGAATATTGCTGCCACATATGGTCTGATGTTCCTGCTATATAAGTTACAGGTATACGAATGAATGCCAGGATTGTAAAAATGGCACTTGAATTCCATCACCTATGGCTAATGTCTGGGGGTTTAATACAAGGTAAATGGTAATTTTCTTCAAAGAATGTAAACATCCGTTCTGATTTATCGAGTCGTTATTCTGTCGATTAAAAAAAACCGTGTTTTAAATCCTTCAAAATTCTTAATCAGTTGAGGCGCAAACGAACAGGCGGGGTCTGTCATAATAAACAATAGCTGACATCTACCCGTGTTCATAATATTGCTACCACATTTGGTCTGGTGCTTCTGCTGTATATTTAGAGATTCTTGAAAAATCTGCAAAGTTATTGGTCTTGACCTGGCATCTCGGCTTCAGTCACTTTCTCACCGCCATAATATAGCTTCCCTATGTCTTTTCTATAAATATTTTCATGGTAATTGTTCTGATGAACTTTCCGCTGTGGTATCCAGAGTTTATGAATTTACGCGCAGTACTGAATTGGCGACATGGTCTCATCATTTTACAGTTGAAATGGCTAGATGGAACCGTAAGTTCTATGTTAACATTTTCTTCTCCTGAACTTCTCGCTTGTGGAACTCTCTTCCGACATCTTGCTTCCCAATCAACTTTGATCTTCAAATATTTAAATACAATGTCAACAGTTATCTTCTGTCTTCTTAATTTTTGTTATTTTATTAATAGTTTTTTTTTTCACATAGTGACAAATTGCATCTTAGTAGCTTTATTGCCTTGCTTTTACAATGATCGTCCATCTCCCGAAGAGACAGAAAGAAACAGTAACTTTCCTAGAGAGCTTGTGTAAATAGGTGACAGAATATTGATTGGGTGGTTTAGTAAGACAGGCATTACTTAGAGCTTCAAAGTATAGGGAGTTGTGGAGAGCCATGATCGCCCACCTCCTGAAGGAACAGAACAAAATTTACTAATTACTCTAACTAGCTTGTGTAAATGGATGGCCGAACATGGATTTTTTCTCTTGAATCAGCAGCTAACTGTGCAGGTCTTCACCTAAATGAAACCAAAACTGAGTGTATGCCAATTAACATTCGCAACAATCATGAGATCAAAACACTCTCAGACAACATCCTCAAATGTGTCGAAGACTACAAGTATCTAGGATCACACATCAAGAACTCTGAGAAAGATTTCAACATTAGAAAAGGCATAGCATGGACTGCTTGTAACAAAATGGAGAAGATCTGGAAATCTAATCTTGCTCGTCAATTCAAAATCCAACTTTTCCGCGTACTTATTGAGCCAATCTTACTGTATGGCTCTGAAACTTGGACTCTCTCAGCAAAACAACAGCGTCGTTTAGATGGATGTTATACACGTCTTTTAAGAAGAGTGCTTAATCTTTCATGGCGAAACCGCCCAACTCTAGAAATGATATATGGAGACTTGCCGAGAGTATCAACCTTAGTTTGCAAAAGACGTGTCCAGTTCGCCGGGCATTGTGCACGTGCCACAGATGAACTTGTGTCATCATTTGTACTCTGGAGGAACCCATCATGTCAATCGATCACGCAAGTTAACCTTTCCAGATAGGATAAAACGTGACACATTGATCCCTAAGGAAGATCTTTTAGGAGCTATGACGGATAGGGAATACTGGAGAGGTGTAGTGAGTTCAATCTCGGCTGAGGCCGCAGGATGATGATGACGAGGACAACCATTGCTTACATCTGCAAAGTATAGGAAGTTGTGGAGAGCCATAATTGTTCCCGTCCTGAAGAGACACAGAATATGGAAAAAGAAGAAAAAGGAGGATAAGTTACACAGATTGGACAAATGTGAGATCATAGTCTTTTTCTTATGAACCGTGTCGACTTTCGTGATCATGGCTCTCCGCGACTTCCTATCTTTTGTGGGTCTTAGTAAATTTTGTTTTTTTTTTGCTAATTCTCCTGATCTCTATTCTGCCAGCCTTTAGGTAGATTAATCATTGTTTTCCGCCGAAATGTATGTGTGTAGGGGGGGGCGTGTGTGTGCATGTGTGAGTGGGTGTGTGATAAGATGATATATAAATTTCTATATATGAAAAAATGTAAAACAATTAGATGATATAGTGGAAGATTTTTAGGACTTCATCAGACTAAATTAATGATTTCGTTGATGGAATTATATATTCGTATGAAGAGGAGGGCGAATACAAAAACGCAGGCGTTGTTTATAATTATTCATTGACAGGAAACGATGGCGACGTGAAACACCGTAATTTTACAGCGTCTCTTCGCAAATAAACTATCGCTTCCAGACTCTTCAAATGCTAGGATCACTAAGATGACGCATGGAACGGTTTCAATAAGTACAGAGTGCAATGGGTAAATTGCCATTTTATATTTTTAATTTTACGCATGCGTATTGTTTACGTTTGATTTTGTCGGCTGCACAATATAGTAGGGTCAGTTAGGTACCGCCTGTGTGAAAAAGAGCACCATGACGTAATTCACTCCGACAGAAATTTAGAAACGGCATGCTGCACTTCTTGGCATTCATGCCGAAAGCTCCAATACGAAGATTTCTTGGTGTTTAGGTATCAGTCTGAGGACAGTGCAGAAGATTCGAAAAGGGTTGGTGATTACGAAGATAAGGCAGCTCGGAAAACTTACTCTGGTCATTCTGATGAGAAAAGAACTCTTGAATTTGTTGATGAGGGCCTCAGACTCAACTCGGAGGTCTACATCAAGTTTCCTTGAGGAGTTAGTGTTTTTCTGGGTCAAAAAGATGGCTGCTGAAGACCCTATGTCTGGCAACAGGACTCTGCACCATGCCAGACAAGCAGGAGAACCCAGTCATGCGACCACATCACTCGTTACATGTGGCCATCTAACTCCCCAGACTTCAAACCTCTTGATTATTATGTGTAGTCCGCTGTTGAGCCAGAAACGAACAAACCTCCTTTAGCATCAAAGATGAACTGAATGCAAGGATTGTGACAGCATTCACTAACTTAAACAAGGAAACCGTCCAGAAGAGATGCAGGAGATTCGGAAATCATTTGGAGGCCGTGGTTGGCGATTTTATTGAATAAATTTACTCTAGTTTTTCAAGATATTTTTGTGTAATTTTGGTAAATATATCTGTTAAAATGAGATGTCAGTTTTATTTTCATTTTAGCATAATTTAGACGACAATTTATCCATCGCACCCTGCATATAATATAGCAAGTCATAAAGGAAATAAGTCGATCTTTTGTGGTGCGAAACAATGTCTTTAGACGCACCAAAAAGGCCAAATAGTTTAAAAGTTGAAGAACAGTAAATGGAAAAATTCCGTGTAACGCGTTTCGGCCTTCAGAACGACTTCATCAGACTATCTGTAGGAGAGGGAGGACTATAAACAAAAACGTCGGTTTGATTGCATTTTATAATTATAATTATACTTATAATTTCAGTTGACATAAATTAATGAAAATTTCTTGTCACTGGTATATCATGATATTCAACGAAGAAGAAAGAAAATGAGTGAGACAAATAGTTCTTCTGTAACTATCTCATCGCTTATGGTACAGGAGTATAAAAAAATACAAAACAATCTATTACACCCACTACTAAAATTGATTTATAAAACTTAAAATTGAAATTTGTTAAGCGGAGTTCATGGACACATATGGGTTCATCAAAAAGGTTTGATCGCCTTGAAAATCAAAATTCGAAATGCTCCTTTAAAAAGTAAAGATTGAATCATCATTTAAGGAATCGAATGACTATGCGAAACGCAACAAATTATGCAGTACTTATTTCAATTAAGTGCATTACTTAAAACGATTACTTCGCCACTTATTTCAGGATTTACCAAAAACTGTAAAATGATTAG